TGCGCCGCACAATGATGCGATGGATATAATATTTACAATGTCATCGAAGCTTCGTTGATTCGTATTCATGAACGAGTCCAGGCTGTCAGGGTCGCCGAGAAACCATTAGGGTTCGAGTTTTGGTTCACGACACCCGCCTGATTTTGAATGTTAAGTTTATGCGATATTCTGGCGTGTAGGGAGAACTCACCCCGTTAACTGAAAGCGAGAATGTAACGCCAACAGTTTGTAGACTGTAAATGGAGACTGATGATGTGGAGTCGATGTTGAGAATTTGGTTCTGGATCACTTCAGCATCCATGTAGCTGATCAAAATAATTTAGAGCGTACCTGGCAGTTCTGCGGCGTCAGGCAGTCTTGATTGTAGTTCTAGGTAGGTTAAACATGTCAGACCCTGGTAAAATGAAAATGAAACTGAACGGACGGTGAAGAAACTGTAGAGTCCAGCGCCGAATACCAAGATGTTCGAGGAGCTGTTCACAACAAGACCCCATGCCGACGTAACCCCAGCGACCGACGCGGGGTCGCTGAAGGCACTGTTAACGGTGAAGGGCGCGGGCGGCGCGGGACTCGGTTGGTAGTACGGCTATCCAACGTTGTAAGTTATGCGCTGTCGCAAAGATGGTTGGGATTACCGTCTCGGTTTGTATGAGCCCCATGTAGTGATTCGCGGCGCCAACCAGACTGTACTGGTACAGAACGTGATGCTCTGAAGCGGTTCCAACCATCCAAACGGGTCCCGCTGACTGCGAGAGGATACCGCGACCGGAGTAGATTGAAATCTGGGCGGCACCATCGCCATCCAAGTTATGGTCGGCCGCCCAGACCCAGGTTCCCTCCGGCAAAGTTAGTGACGGGATGACGACTTCTGAGAGACGTGAAACAAACCTCGAGGTACGCGCTGGATCCCGAGGTAAGGTGGAGACCCAGGAAGGCGGCAAAGCAGTTGGTGGTCCCGCCACTTCCAGTCGATGGGCAGTTGGTTTGGAGATTCGTCCCCGTGGCTTGGGTACACCGTTATTATCCTGACTCCGAGATCACATCCATCCAAGCATACCTCCACCGAGTCGGATATACGAGTCCCACATTCCAGCACCACCCTGCGTGGTCGGTTTAACATTCCACTCAAGGACGATGGCGCCCGGGGCTACGGTTGAATTAGTTCGACGAAGTAGAATACAGGGAAGAGAAAGGACGAACTGGGACCGATGGTGGCGAACTGGATGTCCGTAATCTCCAGGGTACCGGTTGAGCCTGAGGCACCGGCTTGTACGACCACCTGGGGGCTGTCGATATTCTGGAATGTCGCGCCTTTACCGGCGATGACCGTCCCATAACCCTCTCCGACCACCTGGGTACCGGCAGGGATAGTGAGAGTGGATGTAACGACGTACGTCCCGGCGTCAAAGAAGATGATCTTACACCCGGCGTACTGCAAAAGTGTAAGCGATGAATAACGGACGGTGAAAGAATTCAGCATACAGCTGCGAAGATCGCCTTCAGGGCCGCGGTGTCGTCTGTTACGCCGTCTCCCTTGGCACCTTGATCACGAACACTAACAAACTGCGAGACGGCGTAGCCTTCATACTGCGGATGGCTTCTGCCGAAGATCTTCCCGGAGCTGTCGAGCAAAACAGCGGGTTTCGGAGGAGCGGCAATATTGCCCTGAGTAAATTTCCCGGCCGAATTCGACCCAGTGTACACGTTCCCTTGGGCCCACGAAGCGATGGTCGTGGTTCCTCCAGCAAGGACAACGCCACTGGACGCGACTACGGCGCTGGGGACGTTGTTGAGTTTGATGTTGTTCAAAACCAAGGATCCGGCGCCAACCAGCTGGCCGTTGCTGCTGGACGAGGTGCGCAAAAAGATGGGGGTGTTGGTCGCAGTTGCGTCGATGATGGCCTCGGCGCCCACTTTTTGCGAGTCGGAGGTGCTTCCCGACAATAAATCGAATCCAACCTGGGCTTGGTGAGCACAAAGACCGCCTGAAATTTCACTGGCACTCACCCCACAGTTGTTAATGTTGACATTCTGGAATGTCCACCCCCAGTTCCACACACCGAACACCGCCGTTTGAGCGTTGTTCATTGTGACATTGCGCACAGTGAATTCTACATTGGAGTCAGTCAAGGAACCCGAGCGCCGATAAGAAGATTCGTACGTTGATTCCCGACCCACATGCCAAACTTGCCGCCGTTAAAAATGAGGTCTCCCATGAATCCACCACTTTGACGAAGAGTTTCAGCACATTTTAGTGAACTGGGGGGGGGTCGCAGTAAATTTACCTTCCGTTCTCCATGAAGATACCTTGATGAGCGGACTGCCGGGAAGCACACCGTTAGCGAGGCCGAAAAAGCAAGGAGAATGGGTTTACGTGCATTGGCTGCTGGGGACATGTTGAACTAGTCGTCGTGGGTCAGAGTCAAGACGATTCAAGTTTATTAAAATCACTTACGACGATGTTGATCAAGCTTGTCGCCTGGGACACCTGCCAATGTATACCGGTTCCTTGTGAAAGTTGCGGCGGGACACTATGCATGACGTGAGTTTGCAAGGCATGTCAGAGAAGGCACATAATGCACCGAGTCACGTCGATCACGAAGTTTCGAACAGAGCGGAAGCTAGAATCCGTAATCAGCGAGGTTCAAAAGGGCGTAAACGGAAAGACGCACAAGTTGTTCTGGTCGGTGTAATATTCACCTCCCCCTGGGAGACCGGGATCAGCGTCAATGACCGCAGTCGAGCTGAAGCTGGCGTCAGCTAGCAGCGTCGGCGGGGAGGTTGCATCTCCAATCAGTCTGGTCCGGTTGGTTAGGATGCCATCCTACGAAGGAGACGGAGACAAACTGAGTGTAGTAATAAGGCAGAATGGAGCTCTTGACGAGGTATGTCCTGTAGGAGGCCCGTTAGTTCAAATGATTGAATGATCTGACAAAATCTCAACACACCCTTTCGGAAAGAATATGACGGCGGGAGTGGTGCTGGATTCATTGAAATAAGATACTGTACACATCCCCCAGTCATATTGAGAATTACACACCTGGAAGACTTGCACACTGGAGTTCCACCGCATCGGCTTCCAGTCGAAATCGCCAAGCTGGGAAAGGTATTAGATGAACATAATCGACGACGAATGAATGAAGGTACTTGATCGCTGCTGCATCATCCGTAACTCCGTCGCCCTTGAAGAAAGGTGAATCAAGCTGATAAGAACGAAGGTAGCACGTTTCTCACCTTGGCTCCGAAATCCTTGACATTCCGGAAGACCTGGTATGTCGACGGATTTGCGTTAAACGCGGCAATGCCCTGGTGTTTAATGCTCTGCATCCAAAACGGGTCCGAGGCGGCGCGACTGAGTCAGAAGGAAAGTCAGTTTCACGCCTAAAGCCTCGAGATAAGGACCACATACGTTCCTCCTCCAAGAGGAGCAGAGCACGTCGTTCCCAAGGAAGACACCGAAGGCACAGAGGCCAGAGCAAGGCCCATGACGGTCACGAATAGAGACGACAACATGGTGGAAGCGGGTCCATGAACGCATAGCAAACGTTAGCTTTTATGCGTTGAGACTCGGCTTCTCTGAGCAAATTGTCGAGCATGGCGAACGGCATCCGGATCAACCCCACACGCCCCCGATCAACAAAACCCACCTGCAAAAAGGTCAGAGGGTCCAACTCACTAGCGACGATCTTAATTTCAGCGTGTACATATGCGGTTTCCCCATGGCTCAAGCGACGGGGAGTTGGGTCCTCTAAGTCCTCCGTTGAAGGGGTTTTCCAAAGGCTTTCAATTTCCAAACCTTCTCTTCCAAGTAGGTGAAGACTTTTGCCAGGCTTCCTTAGTCCCTACAAAGGAATATAGTAACCAATGCAATAACAGTTGCGTATTATACGTGAAGAAACGGGTCTTCACGGGCATGTCGGCGTGCAAGCGGGGAAAATTAACCGACTGACGGAAAACTTATCGGCGAAATCGGTCCGGCCATGACGTGCGTCGGCGTTGTTCACTGCGGAGCAAATAATGCCGGGAAAGACAGAGGGTAGATCGGTCGAGGCATGGGGAGATCGACGCGGGAAAATCACAAGGAAATCAACGGACAACGAAGATGTGCATGACGCAGTCATCACAAAGCAACAACTACAAAGGTCGTCGGGCTTGATTGGAGCGAGTTGCCACCGAGAATAGCGACGAGGAAGGCAAGAAAAAAAGGAGTAGAGAAAGCGAAAGAAAACAGGATGGGAAGAATGCAAAAAGAAATGGACACATTGGGAATTGAACCCAACACCTCTCGCAATGGCTTCGAAATGCTAAGCGAGCGTGATAACCAACTACACCATGTGCCCGATATCTGCTAGCCTTGGGAACTGATTCTATTGACTCAACTGGATGCTATGAGAACGGTCCCCACTCGGCAAACTCCATGTTCACAAGCTTGGATGATTTTTTCCACACCCCGGGAACCACATTGGGATGAACAACTTGAGGCCGCTCGGGGTCTCCAATGTCATAATTGCCTCACTTCGGGATTGTACCCAAATATTCAACGTCAACATTCCCCAAATTCACCTAGCTTGTAAAACACCATGCGTCTGCCATCACAGCGATTTGGCCGTTATGACGGTATTTATTGTCGAAATGCATGTACTTGCATTCAAGTTGAACCCTATCTCGTGTAAAACTGACTGTGTAGCCTCAGTAAGTGTTCGTATTTTAACAAAAAAAGCTTTATACGCCGTTCATAGGATTCTTTTGAAAATTGAGAGGGGCATGGTACCACTCAATATTCTTCGGTTGAATTTTTCACCCTGCAGAGAATTGCCAGATGAAAGGGTGTTCATGAGTCCTCGAGGTTCTAGTGGATGGCCCTGATTGCAACGAGGATAAAGCTTGGTTGAACATGCAACAACTGCAAGGAGTTCGCCGAGGAGTAGGGACTTGTGGGGACCGTTTTCATAGCATCCAGTTGTGTTGAGTAGGGTGAGCTCCGAAGCCAAGTAGATATCGGGCACATGGTGTAGTTGGTTATCACGCTCGCTTAGCATTTCGAAGCGATTGCGAGAGGTGTTGGGTTCAATTCCCAATGTGTCCATTTCTTTTTGCATTCTTCCCATCCTGTTTTCTTTCGTTTTCTTTACTCCCTTTTTTTTGCCCTCCTCTTCGCTATTCTCTGTGGCAACTCTCCAATCAAAGCCCAATGACCTTTATAGTCGTTGCTTTGTGATGACTGCGTCATGGCTTGGCCTTTGCACTGAGAGCTTGGAGCTCAAGTCGAGCCACAAGTAGCTATATAGGACTCATTTTGATCCACAACGTCCATCAGTAAGCGTTTTCGAGCGAAGGCCCTCGTCTAAGACAAATCCGAAGTCGAGGTTTGGTCTGGAATCTTCGTGGTGAAGGCTCTGGATTGGGAAGTTTCTTTTGTGAACAGGTTGAACCAAATCTGTTATTATTCCGACAATGAGATGGATTCTTCCGATGGAATCCTCTACGCCTCCACCATCTGCGAAAATCTCAACAATGCTGGCAGCCGACAGGGTACCGTGTGGCTCAGATAAAGGGCGAAGACGTAGAGGGTGACAAGATGGAGGACGATCATTCAGACCTCAACGAGGGGGACGCTCACTCGGAGGACTATTCGGTCATTTATTCGACGCGGCGGGGCATCGAATCAGTCAGCCCGCTCGTATTCCGTCCCAACCCGCTGATGCGTTAATCTCCTCCTGCAGTTCGGTATTCGTTCAAAGATCAGGCGGATCCAACTATTCTGCCCATCTCTGGTGAGGTAGAGCCTGACGGTATCTATTGAGTCGGATTGACTGCTCAGATTTGCTCAACTCCGTGGACATCCCACATCATGCCGCCGGATCCATATTTGTCGCTTCTTGAGCCGATCATGTCTTGTATATTTCTCGCGAGGTCCCTGTGAACGGTCTGCAATGCAATTCAATTCATCCGAGTTGCTCCCTATAAGAAAGTATGTATATTATCGCTTGGGTCGGCATAGACCCTGAGCAAGTCACTACATGAAGCTCCACTGCTCGACTTTTCAATAATCAAGACACCTGCGAGAATTGGGCTCTTGCTGAAGCGTGGACGTCTGGGGGCTCGTTCGTCACTGGCATTCCGTTGTGCCACAGTGGGTACCGTGCGCACGGGCCACCGTCGTTGTGGTAACCCGATATCACCCGAATTCGGATCGCGATCGCTATCGACGTCGCCTACTAGTAGTCGCACACGGCGATATTGTACCCAAACTCGCCTTGAGTGGTAATCTTCCGAAGACCTGTGCTGCATGGCAATTGAGGCTGTCGTTGAAATTAAGTCCTCCTTGCCTGCTGGTTTTAGTCCGGCCTTGCCCTCGTGCACTTTGTTTTGGTGCGCTCGTTTTGAGCGGTAATCTTTCCAAAAGAGACTTCATCTGGAAACCCATTTCTGCGGGATAGAAGTGGCCCTTCTACATAGACCGCGTAGATTCAGTACTCGCGTACACTTGCGTAGAGACGCGTAGGCCGCGTAGAAATCTTCCCCAAGAGGTTATCCTTTGACATCGCAACGCATCATTACAACCGCACGGCGGACCCACTTGCCGACAATGCCATCGCGCGGAACAGTCGCGGAACGTACGAAGACTTCAAGAAGACTTCGCTCTTGTCTCAAACGCCCATCTTCTCCCACTTCGGTCCTCAAGCTCGCTGCCCCTTCCCTGTTTCAAGTCTTTCTTGGACTTCTGCACAATGTGATTCCTCCTCTGGCTCAAGTATCCCACTCCTCTATCAGGATTTTTGCCCGCCAACTTCCTTGTCGCTGGCTTCACTCGCGCTCAAGTTGCTTGTTGCCTGGACTTCAAAAACTGTCAACGAAGACCTCAAGCTTCCCTCAACCATGATGAAGACCTCGGGCTTCCCTCAACCTCAACCTCAAAAGACCCTACTGTACTTTCCTGGACCCTCAAAACATCGCAAGAGGTCTCAAACTATTGCAAAAGGACCGGAGTTTAGCGCTCACCTATTCAAGATCTTCAAGAGTCACGATCGAACTGGCGATGAGCGCTGAGCAAGAGCCTGCTACTGACTCGAGTAAATAATGCTTCGGGGATCGAGTCTCTCCCTCTCTTCACGGACTTCCATATTTGTTGTAACTTGTATCTCGTTATGTGTTAGCGCTGAATAACATTTATTTGCTGTTTCATCGAGCCCCCTGGATGCCTATTGTGACGGGGAGCTGTCGGCTACAAGTCGGCGGCTAGTCCCGGCACAAGGTTTTTCGAGAGAGAGTTGTCGGTTGGTCGGTCCAACAGGAATAAGTGGCGTAACAGTAAGATTGACCAAAGAACGATCTACGTACGGTACAGGTATATATAGTAAGTAAAAATAGGGAGTGATTGTAGAGAAGTAAGTAAGTCAACATCGAGTGGACGAAAAAGGAAGGAAGATCAAAGATAAGATAGTAGAGTAGTTTGGCGCGTGAGCGCCCCGTTACATCCGCCCTCCAGGTCGACGCTGCACGGCGACCTAGCCCTGGTTCATAGTAATGTCACCTGAACCACCAGAAGAGCCGGCGACGCTGCCGTCATTGGCCTTCTGCTTCTTGCTCGCGACTTCTTCGGCTTTAGCGTCCTCGAGGATCTTACGCTTGACAGCGAGGTTCTCGCGCGCCTCCTTCGAGTTAACGTCGAGGACACCCTCGTCGGCAAGGGTCTTCCTCTTCTCGCGCTGGTTAGCGTACTTAACCTCGCGCTTCTCGGCCTGAAAACGAAGGCGCTCGGCGTTCTGGAAGTACGCGCGGGAAACGGCAACCTGGTCGGTACCCAGGATGGTGTGGTCCGAAGTCTCGGTGTCCAAGACACAGAACGACTCGGCATCGGCGGCGTCGAACGCCTCGTCGAAGACGATGACCTCGTCCTCGAGGTAGGCCCATTTCAAGCCAGAAGTGTCGTAAGTGTTCATGGCACGAGCGAAAGGGTTGTAGAACGTGGGCTCGCGCTCAGGGAGATCGTCGCCATGGATGATAGCGGCATTATAGTCGCAGTAGAGACGAATGGTGCGAGCGTCGATGATAGTGATGGCCCTGTCAAGCACCTGGAAGGTGAAGTAGCGCTTGCTGACACGCTTCAACACGGAGTGGAGAAGGTTATAGTCGGCGTGACGGGCGGTCAGGCCAGAGGTATCGAAATTGTTCAGGAAAACCTGGTTGGTAGTGGGCATTGTGGGTAACGACTGAGTATTTGTGAACTCGTCTGGAATCCATGCGCTTTTATCTTCAGATAAATTGATGGCGACTGATCCCAGGAACATATCTTCAGCCGAGGCGGGTGGTTTTCCGGAGCCATATGGCAACTCATTAACATGTGAAACACCCACAGCTTCCAGATACTCAGGTAGAGCCTGAAGTAGGGTTGCGGAAGAAACTCCGGGGGGTGCAACAAACTAGGTAATTTACTACCCAAAATTTTTCGGGCCTACAACAAATGTAATTTACCGGGTAAGTTACATGTTTTCGGATGTGTCACGTGCTTTGATCTGGCACATTTTCCGCCGCCAAAATCTCAAAAAAATCCCGCGCAGGCCCCTAGCTGGCCATAACCATCCACGTAGAATCTAAGGTACTAATCAACGGTGTGTATCTGAGGATCAGAACACTTTCCATTCAAACAGCTATTCAATGTGATTTTTTGTGGGCATTTCACTCCGCCTTCCGTTTGAGTGCTGTATTACAAAGGATTAGCTTGGAAGTAACAGTCCTTTTGGAGTGTCAAACACCACTGGCAGCCTCAGGATTCTCTCTTCTTATCTCGAGATTTCTGTGTTCCAGGTAGGAGAGATAAAATTGTTTTCTATTCAGGGTAATCTGTGTGCTGAGTGAAAGTCCTGAGAGTGTCAATGCAGGGCTGACCAACTCGAGGTTCATCAGCTACATAGTGTTGACTCACAACGTGTCCATCACGTTAATGTCTGCGCAGAAACAGTGAGTTCTCTAGGACTTTTCTTATCTAGCATCCAAGCGCCTAAAAAATCTATGTCAATTGGTAGCACTCACCACTTTGTATTTACGAAGCGTGAAGAAAAAAAAATTGCCCAAAACACGTGTGGGGAGTAAGTTACAAGGTGTTTTCGACCTGTCGACCACAAATAGGTAATTTACGCTGCACGTGACCGCGGTAAATTACATATTAATTTACCACCGAGTTTCTTCCGCAACCCTAGCCTGAAGCCGCTTCGCCTGGTCATAAGGCATCCAACTTTTGTCTCCCGACTTCCACAGAACTTCGAACAAGGTCTTTGTTCGACGACCATAGTGGTTGGTGAACTTATCCACCGCCCACTCATTTGTCTCTCCATCCAGAGATATACCTAGCTGGTTCTCAAGACGACCGGGGAATCTTCTGTCATCATTCGGGATATGCGGTCGGAGCAATGAAGAATGAAACACGTTGTGAATCCCTCGTTGTTTCATGTTTGAAGGTAGATCCAATTCAAATGATCCATTGTTGAAGTCCCGAATAATCAGGTACGGACCGATGAATTTGGGAATCATCTTCCGTGCCAAGCCCTTCTCGAACTTGAGGTTCTTGGTTGATAAATAGACCAAGTCCTTTTGTTCAAAAGGCGCGGGTTGACGCTTGCGATTAGCGGAACGAGTCTGCTTGACACGCGCCGCAATCATGCTGTCGTGAGCAGCCATGATGGCGAGATGGCGTTGCAGCGCAAAATTTGCAATTCCGGGATATTCACGAGTACGATCAGCATTCCAGAGTAATGATCGGGGCATTCGGCCCGTGTTCAAGAAGAACGGACTATAACCAGTAGTTTCCGATCGAGCGGAGTTCATAGCGAACTCGATTGCTGGAAGTTTAGCGACCCAGTCCTTTTGCTTCGGGCCGATACATTGGCGGAGCATTTGAGTTATGGTCCGATTGGCACGCTCAGTTCCGCCATCGGACTCGGGGTGGTATGCACTTGACATATGCAGCTTGACTCCAATTAACTCGTGAAGTCTCTTCCAGAAGACACTAGTGAATAGCGAATCACGGTCGCTCACTATGGACTTGGGTAGGCCGTGGAGTTTGTAGACATTTTCAAACATCAACTC